TTGAAGCCAGGAGGACCTGAGTTCAAATCTGGTTGCAGATACATTATACTAACTGTGTGACCTTGGGCAAGTCACTTAACCCCCATTGCCTTACCAAAAAGCAAAAAACAAACAAACAAACAAAAACTGTTTGGTAGAATTCACTTATAAATCCATGTGGCCCTTGAGATTTTTTCTTAGGGAGTTCATTGATGGCTGGTTCAATTTCTTTTTCTAAAATAGGGTTAAGTGTTTTATTTCCTCTTCTGTTAATTTGGGCAATTTATATTTTTGGAAACAATCATCCATTTTGCTTGAATTGTCAGATTTATTGGCCTATAGTTGGGCAAAATAGCTCCTAATTATTGCTTTATTTCCTCTTCATCAGTGGTAAATTCACTCTTCATTTTTGATACTAGTAATTTGGTTTTCTTCTTTTTTTAAAATTAAATTAACCAAAGGTTTATCTTTTTTTTTCATAAAATCAAATCTTAGTTTTCTTTATTAGTTCAACAGTTTTCTTATTTTCAATTTTATTGATCCCTCCTTTGATTTTCAGAATTTCTAATTTGTCATTTAATTGGGGATTTTTAATTTGTTCCTTTTCTAGTTTTAGTTGCATGCCCAATTCATTGATCTGCCCTTTCTCTATTCTATTTATGTAAGCTTTTAGAGATATAACATTTACCTTAAGTACTGCTTTGGTTGTATCCCATAAATTTTGGTACGTTGTCTCATTGTTGTTATTCTCTTTGATGAAATTATTGATTGTTTCTATGATTTGTTGTTTGACCCACTCATTCTTTAGAATTAGATTATTTACTTTCTAATTAATTTTTACTCTATCTGTCCATGGCCCTTTATTACACATTTTTATTGCATCATGATCTGAAAAGGATGCATTTAATATTTCTGCCTTTCTGCATTGGATTGGGAGGTTTTTATGCTTTAATACATGGTGCCATGCACTGCTGAGAAAAAGGTATATTCCTTTCTATACCCATTCAGTTTTATCCAGAGGTCTATCATATCTAACTTTTCTAAAATTCTATTCACCTCCTTAATTTCTTTCTTATTTATTTTTTGGTTACATTTATCTAGTTCTGAGAGGGAGAGGTTGAGGTCCCCAGCTAGCATAGTTTTGCTGTCTATTTCTTCCTGTAACTTACTTAACTTCTCTGAGAATTTGGATGCTATACCACTTGGTGCTTATATGTTTAGTACTGATATTACTTTGTTGTCTATGGTACCTTTAAACAAGATGTAGTTTCCTTCCTTATCTCTTTAAATTAGATCTATTTTTGCTTTTGCTTTGTCTGAGATCAGGATTGCTACCCTTGCTTTTTTCACTTCAGTTGAAGCATAATATATTCTGCTCCAGTCTTTTACCTTTACTGCGTATCTCTCTGCTTCAAATGTGTTTCTTATAAACAACATATTGTAGGATTATGGTTTTTAATCCACTCTGCTGCTTCCATTTTATGGGAGAGTTCATCCTATTCACATTCACAGTTATGATTAACTATTTCCCTCCATCCTACTCCCCCTCCTTATACTTTTCTCTCTCCTTTCATTTTGTCCCTCCTCACCAGTTTTGCTTCTAACCACCACCTCCCTCAATCTGCTCTCCTTTCTATCAGCCTCCCTTCCCATTTCTTTCACCTTTACCCTCCTACTTCTGCCCTCCCTTCTATCTACCCCTCTCCTTTTTCTTTCTCCTTTCCCCTCCCACTTCCTTATATGGTAAGATAAATTTCTATACCCAACTGAGTGTGTATGTTACTCCTTCTATGAGTCAAATCTGATGAGAGTAAGGTTCAAACAATGCTCATCCCTCCCCCTCCTTTTCCTCTACTGTAACAGGTCTTTTGTGTCTCTTCATGTGATGTAATTTACCTTATTCTGCCTCCCCTTTTCCTCTTCTGCCTGTGCAATCCCTTTTTTCACCCCTTAATTTTTTTTATATCATCACATCAAAGTCAATTTATATCCACACTCTGCCATCTATATATACCCCTTCTAAATGCCCTAACAGAGATACAGTTCTCAAGTGTTACATCTTGTATCATCTTCCCATGTAGGGATATAAACAGTTTAGCTTTACTGAATAACATTTTTTTCTTTCCTGTTTACCTTTTTATGCTTCTCTGGAGTCTTGTATTTGAAGACTGAATTTTCTGTTCAGCTCTGGTCTTTTATTAGGAAAGTTTGAAAGTCCCCTATTTCATTGAATGTTCATCTTTTCCCCTGAAATAGTATGCTCAGTTTTGCTGGGTTGCTAATTCCTGGCTGCAATCCAAGCTCCTTTGCCTTCTAGAATATCATGTTCCAAGCACTCTGATCCTTTAAGTAGAAGCTGCTACATCTTGTGTAATCCTGACTGTGGCTCTTTGATATTTGAATTGGTTCTTTCTGGCTGCTTACAGTATTTTCTCCTTGACCTAATAATTCTGGAATTTAGTTACAATATTCTTTGGAGTTTTCATTTTGGGTTCCTTTTCAGGAGGTGATTAGTAGATTATTTCAATTACATTTTATCCTCTGGTTCTAGGATATTAGGGCAATTTTCCTTGATAATTTCTTGAAAGATGCTGTCTAAGCTTTTTTTCTGATCATGGCTTTCAGGTAATTCAATAATTCTTATATCATCTCTCCTGAATGTATTTTCCAGGTCAATTGTTTTTTCAATGAGGTATTTTCCATTTTCTTCTATTTTTTTCATTCTTTTGATTTTATTGGACTGATTCTTGATATCTCATAGAGTCATTAGCTTCCATTTGCTCAATTCTAATTTTTAAGGAATTGTTCTCTTCAGTTAGCTTTTGTACCTCCTTTTCCATTTGGCCAATTCTACTTTTTAAGGAGTTGTTTTCTTTGGTGGATTTTTTTTTCATTTGGCCAATTGTATTTTTTAAAGAATTGTTTTCTTCAATCAATTTTTATCCTTCCTTTTCTAAGCTGCTCTCTCTTGCATACCTCTCATTTCTTTTCACAATTTTTTTTCTACCTCTCTTATTTGATTTTTTAAATCCTTTTGGCACTCTTCCAAGAAGGCTTTTTGGGTTTGAGACCAATTCATATTCCCCTTTGAGGTTTCATATGTAGGCATTTTGACATTGTTGTCCTTCCCAGTCACCATAGTAGCTTTCTATGGTCAGAGCTCTTTTCTGTTTTTTGCATTTTTAGCCTATTTCATGACTTTAAAAGTTGAGCTCTGCTCCTTGGGCACAAGGGGGCACTGTCCCAAGCTTTTTGTGCTGGGGCCAGGGGCCTGGTCACTGACTTTCTGCTTCAGGGCCTCAGGTGCTCGTGGTTTGTCCATTGCACTGGGACTATTAGGCAGTGGCCCAACCTAGGTGCGCATGTTGTGCCCTGGGTTGTGGGGCTGGCAATTTGCCTTCTGCACTAGGGCTGGAAGCCTCACAGATGGCTTGCTGTGCCACTGGCCTGCTGAGCTAGAACGTGTGGCTTGTTTGCTGATCTGGGCTATGGCTAAGAGCCTTCCACTGGCATGCCCAGACACCATCTGTACTGGGCTGTGCTCCCCTTCTACCTAAGTGAGACAGACCTTTCCTGGAGTCCCTTCAAATTATCATAAGCTGGAAAATTGCTTCACTCCATATTTTTTGTAGGTTATGTTGCTCCAAAATCCATTTAGAGGCTGATTTAATGTTGTTTCTGAGGGAAACTGAGCTCAGGCAACTTCTTGGCTTTTCTCCACCATCTTGGTTCTATTATTATTATTATTATTATTATTATCATTATTATTATTGTTATTATTAAGGACGAGTCAAAACAAAATTATATATCCTACTCAAATCTAGGGATCAAAGAACGGTCAGATCAAAACCAGTATCAGAACAAGCAATGAGTGAAAACAAATAACTATTAGTGAGATAATGAGAAAAGTTAGGGGTTGATTTTCCACAATAAATTACATTTTAGGACTATGTACTTCAAGCTTTATGTTTATGATTGGTAATTTTAATTAAATCTATATCTTTATTTTTGAAAATATAATTGCATGGAAAAGCATTCTAGTACCTCTCCCCTACCCCCATTAATAACCCTAGTGTTATGACTTCCCATTGTTTACCATACTTAAATATTCCAATTAAATGGCTCCAACCAAAACCCTACTACTATCATAGTGTCAGTTTAACTTAATTCTAGGCAAAACATTTAGAAGAAAATAAATAGTCCCATGAGTGTGGGTCTTAGGAGTATCAGATGGGTATGCCCTAGAATATCAAAGAGGCATAGAAAATACAGAACTAGACAAAGGAGATGCAATGATTTTAATTTGCATGTTCCAATGAAATAAGTCAAGTTGCTTACAAATTTTGACTTTCAAGGGATACATGAAAAAAAAAAAACCCAACCCAGAAACAGTACACAGAATAATATTAAGCAGAAAATTATTAAAAGAAAGTTCAGAGATTAGCAAATTGCTGAAATGTTTACAACTTTTCAAAACATTTTCACAGTTAAAGAAAAAAATCTGGTACATTCTTGGGGGAAATTTTTTTCTTATTGTAAATTTTTACTTTCTTCCTCTTATTCCTTTTACATAGTTCTTTCTTTGGGGTGAGAAGAGGAGGGAGGGCAGACTTTGAACCTTTGGCTTCATTGGTATACAGGAACTCCTGTTGTGGAAACTACCTCTACCAATGCAGATGGAAAACTCATTTATAATTTGAGAGAGTTGCCTGGTAGTACTGAGAGGTTAAATAATTTTACAAAGCTCCCATAGTCAGTGTGTGTCAGAGGCAGACTTGAAGTTAAGTCACGCTAACTCCAAGGCTGGCGAGATCTCTAGCCACTATGACATGCCATCAGAGAGAGCTATAGGGTGCTAAATTGTTGATGTTTGGATAGTGTCTCCAGAGATAGGCCTCCAGTCCTAGTAACCTGATAATCTGTCCCCCTTCCCACTCCATGCTCAGTCACTGTTTTCTTGCTTCAATAAAAATTAAATGAGGAAAAAAAAAGAAAGTCATTTTAGCACAATTTTTTCATTATTTTAGAACATGAAAGTCAATTTAATTGGGTTCATCTAAGGCAGCATACCCAATGACAGATGTTAAAAACTCCACTCTTCCCCCCTCTTTCCTGGTTGCAAATTGAAGATCACTTGCTTTTTGAATGACCTACAGTAGAAACTGGTACAGAAATCTAAGTAAGTAGATTCACATCAAAATTTTCGAAACACAGATATGTTGCACAGGCCTGCAGTTGTCACTATAGTTACTACCAGATCTTGAGATTTAGGAAAAGCAGAACCATAAGGCCATTAGTATCTCCCTCTGCATACATAAATCTAGCACTCCCTAGTGTTTATGAGCTTCCTTTTTAATCTCTGGTTTATTTTCCACATTGTTATTGCCAGGTCGTTTTTCTCCACTGTTTGTTGGATCATCTGAAAGAAAAAAATACGTATATAACAGATCATTCCCATTCATCTCTCTGATTAGTAGCAGTTAGCTATTTCCTGTTAATAGATACAAATGTTTAGTCTCTTTAGTTTCTCTCAATATGTCCCTACTAGTTGTTTTTTTTCCCTCCTCTTTTCTACTGAACTATTCTTTCAGAATAAATTGTACCTTCATGAACATGCAGATACCACATGGAGAAGATTAAGTAATTAAATTTATGGAATCTCCTCCACAAGATAGATTTTGAATATAAGTGATTAGCAGTGTCTTTCAGATTAATGTTCTACTACCATGTCAGCATTTACGGGAGAGTACTTTTCTTTTTTCAGTGCAAAAATCTAGAAACTAGAGGATAACAGTCAGATTCATAATAGCTAGAGTTTAGCAATGACAGTTTAGCAGAGCCATAACTAGGCTTTGCACCAAGTCGATGTATTTAGAGGATTGGACGGCAATTGCAATCTCTACAATGTAGAGGAAAAAAACAGTTTAGTAACTAGTTAACAAGAATATTTAAAATTAAAAGCTTCCTCCACCTTCTCAAAACATGCCCCCCCCCTTAGTTCAAGTGAGTTTACTCACACACACTCCAGTCCCACACTGCTATCTGCCCCACCTCCACTTCACCACACCCATATGGGGAAGCCTACTGAGCTTCTCAGTCACAGAACTTTGCTAATTATGGCTCTATAGCCTAGCAAAAAACTTCACCTAAAAATCTGAGTCTAGTTGTGAGTCTTTTCATGCTGTCTTAAGTTAGAATTCATGACCTTGTATACTTTCTTTGTTTATGCTCTAGGATATTGTTTCAGCCTTCTCTTTTGTGAGTTAAAATAGGGCATAATAAAGGTCTATAACCTTAAGCTTTACTGGCCTGTCTGACTCTTTTGGGAAAAACTCCCAAACTGCAGAAATGGTCTGGCATACTATAGTGCCACATAATGGTACTGTCACCTGTGTGCAGGATGCTATGCTTAGTATAGCATGCACATTTTTGGCTTACCACATTGTCAATTACTTTTCATTGATTTATAAGGGAGCCCTTAGAGATCCTTTGCTGTTGATTAACTAAAGTCAGCATTGCCATGCCAATGTGAGGTAAAAGGACACATTTTAAAGGGCACCCTGCTACATTATGGCTCTTAAGAGGAAGCAGCTTATTTTGATTACTGTGCATTATTTATATCTCTCTAGACAACTTTTGCTATTGCTTTCCATCACTGTACACACTTCTTTGTCAATATTCATTTCTCTACTCTTGCCACATGAAAGTCTTCCTCTATGACACTGCTCTTCCTCTTTCACTTCCAACTTAATTACACTTTCTTATTTAAGTCTCTCATTTTTCTCATACTAAATAACAGCTAGTATTTCTATAGCACTTTATGGTTTGCAAAGTTCTTTACAAATTTTATCTCATTTCATCCTCACCACAACCCTGGAAGGTAGGTGCTATTATTACAGCCATTTTTACAGATGAGGAAACTGAGGCTGGGGGAGATTAAGTGACTTGTCCAGGGTCGCACAGATAGTAAATGTCTGAGGCTGGATTCTAATTCAGGTCTTTCAGGACCAATTTTATTACAGGTAACAAAATATTTTTTAAGTAAAATCACAGATGCCATGCACTGCCCTAGGCACCTGGAATTTAAGCACTGAGCTACATTAGCATGTCCTAAGGAGGAAGCCTTCAGCTGCTCCAAGTGCTTAGAAACTGAGGCTTCGGGTGATATGAAACTACTTCAGACCTACTTCCTCTTCTTCCTCTGGCTGCTACAGACCAGACATGTTTGTAGTTCTGAGACCCCAGCAGAGGAGGCTGTGAGTTCTGCGAGCCTCACAGGAAAATGTTAGGGCAGAAAGCACACCCAGAAGCTGACTTTGATTCAGCTCAATCACTTATGTCCTGATCCCTAAGTCTCTGAAAGCAAGTACCCGTCTCCACTCTTTTCTGATCCTGTGATATCTTCTACCCACTCCCAGGACCTGTAGAACACTTAGAGCTCAGTATCTGTCTACTGATCAGGCTATCTAGAGCTTGGAGTCTTTTCAATGGAGGCTATGCTGTTCCAGATACCTGAAGGCTAAGTCCTGAGATGGGTGAGACAGGTTTTTGGTCACAGTTTTCTGTTTTAACTTCTTTTTATGCAGAATGCCTTCTGCTGTACTGGGTACCTAGACTTTGAAACCTGAAATAGATGTGACATTTCTTGGAATTGGCTCCTCCTCAGTTAAAATTTCCTAATATCAACCTACCCAGTCCCCTGATCTTCAGTACTCAAGCACTAGACCACTAGCTTCTTTTCTGAATACCCATTTATAATGCCTTCTAGCCTGACCTTTCCCATGCCTGGCACGGAGAGTAGTAATCATGAGTTCCAATGGACTCGAGGGATGCTTTGTTCCCTCATTTTACCCTTACTTTGTTTTGTAGATGAGAACAACTGAAGCCTAGAGAGTTGAAGTGATTTCCCCAAGTTCACACAGCTAGTGGTGGCAAAGCTAAAATATTCCTGAGACACAATCCTAGCCATAATTGGTCCATTCTAAGAACTATCTTCTCTCTCCATAATTGTGATTCTTTGTTTTCCCTCATTGTCCAATCCCCTAATTTTATTTTTAATTATTTTCCAATTAAATTTAAATTAAATTCTAATTTTCCCATTTCCAAGTTGTTGATTTATCTTTTTTTTACTTATTTGTCCATTTGTCTCCATCTTTTAAACTTCTGCTTTCTCTACTTCGCTAGCTATGTGGTTCAAAATCTTTCCTACCTGCTTCTCCCCCCCCCCCCCAATCTCTGAGTTTAATATTCTTTTGGAACATCCTTTTGCCAAAAGTTTTCCTTTTCTTTGTCCTCATTATTTCTCTCCCATTCAAGTTTATTCTGATTTTGTTACTCAGTATTTTCTTGTATTAGGAGTCTAGGTGGCACAATAGATAGAGGAATGCTAGTGTCTAAAGTCAGGAAGACTTATTCTTCTGACATCTTCAAATTAGACACTAGCTATATGACCCTGAGCAAGTCACTTAACTATGTTTGCCTCAGTTTCCTCATCTATAAAATGAGGTGGATAAGGAAATGGCATATCACTCTGTATCTTTGCTAAGAAAATCCCAAATGGGGTAATAAAGAGTCAGACACAACTGAAAAAATGATTGAACAAATGAATTTTCTTGGATAACTTGCTATTATTTATGGACAGGATTTATTAAAAAATTTTTGAAACAATATTCATTAATGATATTGGTATAATCTTTTTATTCTTTGCTTTATCCTTTCTTGGTTTAAATATTAGGACTCTTTTGTTTTAATTCATGCCTAGACATGAATACAATATGGTCTGAGCCCCTAGTCAGAGTATAGGAAGAGACTCTCCTCCCTAGTCCCTGGGTAATCTTCCTTAATGCAAGCCATTAGGTTTTTTGGTTGCCATATCACAGTTTGATTATGGACAGAGAGGGTGTCTATTATCAAGAGGATCAGCATAAGTCTAGAAAGATGCAACAAGTTGCATCTTAGCTGATGACATTTTAAGCTATAACAACTCTTGAAGACTTTCTACTAAATCATACAAGGAGTAGAATCTTCATCAGTGGAGGGAGTAAACTACCGATATAATCACAGATCACTGAAGTACAAGTCATACTTTTGACTCATGTTAAATCAATCTATTTATACTCCTAGATCTTTTTCAGACAAACTACTTAATCATGCCTTCCTCCATCCTGAACTTAGGAAGTTGGTTTTTTGAACTTTATGAAATTTTATGTTCCTTTTTTCTTCCCACTCTTCCTTTGTTGTCTTCTCTTAACTTTTGTTCTTTCCCTCTTTTCACCCTTCCCATTCCTTCTTCACCCTTCCATCCTCACTTCCCTTTTCCTCCCTCTTCCTTCCTCTCTTACTTCTTTTTCCTTTTCCTTTCTGTTTCTTCTCTTTCCCCTCTTTTCTTGCCTTCTCTTTAGTTTCTGTCTTTCTCTTCGTGTGTCTGTCTTTGTCTCTCTGTCTCTCTGTCTCTCTGTGTCTGTGTCTGTCTCTGTGTATCTCTGTCTCTTTCTGCCTAGGGGATGCTGTTGGAGCATTTGGTAGGGGACATATTATATTGAATGAAAGCAGGTATATTTGGTACTTGAGCCAAGAAAAGAGGTGAATGGCTTGTTCTGTGTACTTTACATAGAACAAATTGACTTTGACTCATCAGTCTCTATTCTCATTGCTCCCAAAATCATACTATTGACTCACTAAAATAATGTAGAAATTGATCTCACAGGGTCCAAGCCAAGGTTATGTATGCCAAAACTAATTGTTAGCCTCACTCCTGAATATCCACTTACAATACCTCCTGTCATGATTTTGTTCTCCCACCCGCCTTACTTATACGTAAAAGAATTTTAATCTTAGAATCACAGAATCAGGAACTGAATACAAGGGTTCATTACTTTTTTATGTGTCATAGACCCCTGGGAAAGCTTATGGACTCCTTCTCAGAGTAATGTTTGTAAATGTTTGAAAAATACAGGATTACAAAGTAAATCAATGAAATTTAAATACAATTAACAAAATATTAAAAAAAAATTTATAGACCTCCAGAAATTTATAGCCACAGATACCTTGGGAGCCTTAGACCTCAGGTTAAGAATCCCTGATCTAGTAAAAATTCCCTCATTTTGCAGAAGGGGAAATGCATCTATTAATTAATGCCTTAGAATTTGCTGTACTATAACTTTGTTAAAAATGGAAATATCTCTTTTGAAATTTTGTTGAAATTACCAATATATTTATTTTAGAATAGTGAGATTCTTCTGGAAAAAAACATATAGTTTTCATAAAACTGAAAGAGGAATCAGAAATATCTGCATTTTTCATTTTTAGATTTGATAGATTCTTTCTTTTCCTATTTTGAAGTTGTTTACAGGTTGATGATGCTTATGCAATGAAACACTTTATCTTTAGCATCTTTATTGAATAATCAATGTCAATCACTGCAAGTACAGACACAAAGTACAGATAAACAGAGTCTTTCTAGAAATGATGGTTAATGGGTGGCTGTTTGCAGAATTAATTTCAAAACCTCATGTGATCATAGATTTAGAGATCATCTAATCTAAACCACACTCTCTCTGCCTTCATTTTTACAGATGAGGAAAAAGAGGCCACAGAGCTTACAAGTCAGAGGCAGATTTACACTTAGATCCTCTGACTCCAAAGCCAGAGCTCCTTCCAGATTACCACTCCTCTTAAAAGTCCAGCCCCATAAATCTGTTTTTCAGTCGTTTTCAAGTTGTGTCCAACCGTTCATGACCCCATTTGGGGTTTTCATGGCAAAAATACTGTAGTGCTTTGCCATTTCCTTCTCCAGCTCATTTTACAGATGAGGAGACTGAGATAAACAGGGTTAAGTGACTTGCCCTAGTAAGTGTCTAGTAAGTGTCTGAGGCCCAATTTGAACTCAGTCTTCCTGATTCCAGACCCAGCACTTTACTTACTGTACCATCTACCTGACCCCACAAATATAAAATTTACGAGCATATGCAAGAAGATACAGCCCATTAAAGTCAGGATACAACCAAGTGAGAAAAATAGTACTTTTTTTGTTTTCTGAAGGGAAAAAATTTAAATTAAGTCTAGAATAAAACACTTTACCCAATTTGGATAGAACACTGGGCTTGGAGTCAGGAAAACTCATCTTCCTGAGTTCAAATCTGGCCTCGGACACTTACTACTATGTGACCCTGGGCAAGTCACTTACCTCTGTCTGTCTCAGTTTCCTCATCTGTAAAATGAGATAGAGAAGGAAATGGCAAACCACTTCAGTATCTTTTCTAAGAAAACCCTAAACAGGATCATGAAGAGTTGGACACTACTGAAAACAACTGAAAAACTATACAAAATAAAATTGTCACATGGTGTAGAGCTGAAAGATATCTTAGATGTCATCTAGTCCAACAATATTTAAAACATGAGGAAACTGAAGTCCAGAGAAAGTTTGTCCAAGGCAAAACAGGCAAGTACAGAACCAGGAATGGAGCCTAAAAATTCAAATCCAGTGTGCTCTTTCCACTACATAGAGTATGCCGCCTACCATCAAAAAGACAAACTTCTGAGCTACAGAAGAAAGTACCCCAGGTACACAAAACTAGGTAATCATGAAGGAAATGAGCATCAAATATAATAAAGCAAAAGATTAGCTTACTGTCAACAGTATTTTCAGTATTATCTTGTGACAAGCTGAGATTTTCTAGCTTTTTAGGCAGTTCTGATGATCCAGGACTACCAGGAGAACCCCTGATGTCTGGTAAGGCATTCCGACGACCTGTCCTTCCTGAAGATGAAAAATCTGTGACCACAGGCTGTACATCAGTCATTTCTGATTCCTTTCCTCATAGCAACATCTGCAAATAGAATGTCCAAGTAAGGTAAAGAATAACTCAAAAAAAAAATTTAAAGGTCTAGCAAATCCTAGTTCAGTAAAAGTAATACTGGAACAACAACCTACCAAGGGCTACTGAGTTCTAGCATCATGATACTAACACATCCTTCTCCTGTGTGCCTATCATTTGAATCTCGGAGTTTCTATCTGCACACTGGCTGACAATCCTGAACTTGGTGGAGATTCTTCAGTAGTGTTAACCAAAGTTCTCTAAATAGAACCTGCCTCAGACTTCCTATGTACCACTTGTATGCTTTGAGGGGAACAGATCCCTTTCATTTTGTTCTCCTTTTCTGAGGATTGCTCCACCAGAATGAGAATGGAAAGGGAAATGAAAATGAATTTGTTTGGGTACTCATAGGCCCAATATATCTACTAGTACTTAGTGCAATCCTTGGCCAAAAGCCTATCATAATTTGAGAATGCCAGATGAAACATTTTGTATTTAAGTTCTAGCAAAACCAAGTTAAAAATTTAATTTCATCTTTTTTTTTTTTTAACCCAGTGAGAGCTGAGTCTTTTATTTAAATCTGTTCTACAAATTACTCTTCAGTGGTCTCAGGATAAAGGCACACAATTTGTGTTTTTCTTTAAATTCCTTTAAAAGCTGTTTCCTTTTGTGGTTGCTTCCCTTGGCATCTTTGAGTAGCCTACCAATTGTCTGTACCTGATAAGGAAGTCTAAAGAAATTATCTTTATAATACATGGAGGTCAGTAGAAGATAACTTTTTGCTGACACTCTCCTTTGCTTTCCTCTAGTTCACTCTTTTAATAAGGCCAGAATCAAAAGCTAGACTATAATTGTCAAAAAATTAAAAATTAAAATAAAAAAAGTATATTCATATCTAGAATTTTGCCAAGTCTTTTTTGATAACTTCTAGTTCAGCTTTGGACAAAGTTAGGATTGAATATTATATTATCATCATCCTAATTATCAAAATATCAAGAACATGTCTTTTTAAAATACTTAAATGGAATAAATATAATTTTATATCCAAGAAAAAGGGTAAGTATATTAAGGTAGTGAGGGTCAAAGAAAAGTGGGTTGGGAGACACATGTTGGAGAGAATCAATAACATGCACATAGCACAAGATGACTTGTTAAAAAGGCTCTTCTAGCTCTTGGCACAGTGCCTAGCACATAATGGACACTTAGTAAAGACTTGTAGGGTTGACTTAACTTATTTAGATAAATGACATCCTTTCCAAAATCCTCTCCTCTAGATTTCTTTTATTTTCCTTATTTATTTATTTGTTTTTAGTTTTCAGCATTCACTTCTACAAGATTTTGAGTTCCTAAATATCCCCCTCTACCCCATGATGGCCCGCATTCTGATTCCCCCTTCACCCAATCTGTTCTCCCTTCTATTACCTACCCCCCCTTCTCTTACCCCCTTCCCCTTCTATTTTCCTGTAGGGTAAGACAGATTTCTATATCCCTTTGCCTGTGTATCTTATTTCCCAGTTGCATGTAAAAACAATTTCTTACATTTGTTTCTAAAACTTTACATTCCAAATTCTCTCCCCTCCTCCCTCCCCACTCACCCTCATTGAGAAGGCAAGCAATTTGACATATGCTATACATGTGCAGTCATGCAAAATACTTCCATAATAGTCATGTTGTGAGAGACTAACTATATTTCCCTCCATTCTATCCTGGCCCCCATTTATTCTATTCTCTTCTCAAAAGTGTTTGCTTCTGATTACCCTCTCCCCCAATCTGCCCTCCCTTCTATCATCCCTCCCTCTCTTATCCCCTTCCATCCTACTTTCCTGAAGGGTAAGATAGATTTCTATACCCAATTGGGTGTATACGTTATTCCCTCCTTAAGCCAAATCCAATGAGAGTAAAGTTCACTCATTCCTTCTCACCTCCCCCTCTCCTCCCCTCCACTGTAAAAGCTTTTTCTTGCCTCTTTTATGTGAGATAATTTACCCTACTCTACCTTTCCCTTTCTCCTTCTCCCAGTACATTCCTCTGATCCCTTAATTTTCTTTTTTTAGATACTATCCCTTCATATTCAACTCACTCTGTGCCCTCTGTCTATATATATATAATATATATATGTATATATATATTATATATATATATATATATTCCCTTCAACCACCCTAATAATAAGAAAGGTCTTATGAGTTACAAATATCATCTATCCATGTAGGAATGTAAACAGTTCAACTTTAATAAGTTCTTTATGATTTCTCTTTCCTGTTTACCTTTTCAAGCTTCTCTTGAGTCCTGCATTTGAAAGTCAGTTTTTCCATTTAGCTCTGGCTTCTCAAGAATGCATTAAATTCTTCTATGTCATTGAATATCAATTTTCCCCCTCGTTGATTACACTCAGTTTTGCCAGATAGATGATTCTTGGTTTTAATCCTAGCTCCTTTGACCTCCGGAATATCTTATTTCAAGCCCTTTGATCCCTTAAAATAGAAGCTGATAAATCTTGTGTTATCCTGATTATGTTTCCACAATACTTGAATTGTTTCTTTCTGGCTGCTTGCAATATTTTCTCCTTGACCTGGGAACTCTGGAATTTGGCTATAATACTCCTGAGAGTTTTCCTTTTGTGATCTCTTTCAAGAGGTGATCGGTGGATTCTTTCAATTTCTATTTTACCCTCTGGTTCTAAAATATCAGGGCAGTTTTCCTTGATAATTTCTTGAAAGATGATGCCAAGGATCTTTTTTTTGATCGTGGCTTTCAGGTAGTCCAATAATTTTTAAGTTACTCTCCTGGATCTATTTTCCAAGTCAGTTATTTTTCCAATGAGATACTTTACATTGTCTTCTATTTTTTCATTCTTTTGGTTTTATTTTATAATTTCTTGATTTCTCATGGAGTCATTAGCTTCCATTTTCTCCATTTTAATTTTTAAGGAATTATTTTCCTCAGTGAGCTTTTGGATTTTCTTTTCCATTTGGTCAATTCTGCTTTTTAAGGCATTCTTCTCCTCATTGGCTTTTTGGACCTCTTTTGCCATTTGGTCTAGTCTATTTTTTAAGGTGTTATTTCTTTAGCATTTTGGGGGGTCTCTTTTAGCAAGTTGTTGACTCATTTTTCATGATTTTCTTGCATCGCTCTCATTTCTCTTCCCAATTTTTCCTCTACTTCTCTTACTTGGTTTTTTGAGCTCTTCCATGGCCTGAGAACAATTGATATTTTTCTTGGGGGCTTTGGATGCAGGAGCCCTGACTTTGTTGTCTTCTTCTGGCTGTATGCCTTGATCTTCCTTGTCACCAAAGTAAGATTCTATAGTCTGAGTTTTTTTCATGTTTGCTCATCTTCCCAGCCAGTCACTTGACTTTTTAACTCTTTGTTAAGGTAGGCTCTGCTTCCAGTGGGGAGGGTGTACTGTCCCAAGCTTCAGGGGTTTTGTGCAGCTGTTTTCAAAGATACTTCTAGAGACCTGTTAAGTTTTCAGTTCTTCCAAGGTGGTACGATCTAAGGAGAGGTGTTTACTCTTCTCCTGACCTGTGCTCTTGTCTGTGAGTGACCATAAGCATTCTTTCCTGCCCTGGAAGTGAGAGGAGGATTCCCTCTTCACTGCTGCCATGTTCTGCTATGCCAGTGCTCCTCCTCATCCCAGGATTGCCACCCAGGACGGGGACCCAGATCCAAGCATGGACAAAGCAAGAGAATCCTGCCTCAGTGTCAGCAAAGAGAACCCTGCAATCTTGCTCTGATCAGCTGCTCCATCCCCCCACCATCTGTGGGCTGAGAGTTCTGGAAGCAACTGCTATCACTGTGGCCTCCATCCCAGGGCTGCGCTAGGTCCAGGGCTGTACTGTGCTCCTCTCTTTCTCATCCAGGTTCTACAGACCTTTCCCACTGACCTTCTAAGTTTTCTTTAGCTTTTGTGGGTTGAGAAGTCTAGAAACTGCCACAGCTCCCCTTGATTCAGTCCTCTGAGGCCTGCTCCAGGCTCACTGAGCCCTGGTCTTTGCCTGTGTGGCCCACACTGAACTGTGCTCTTCTCCCAGGCCAGCACAATAGACCTTTCCAATCAACCATCCAGGTTGTCTTGGGCTGGAAAGTTGTTTCACTCTGTCTTTTTGTGGGTTCTGCTGCTCTACAATTTGTTTAGAGTCATTTTTTATAGGTATTTGGAGGGGTCTGGGGGAGAGCTCTAGCAAGTTGCTACTTTTACTCTGCCATCTTGGTTCTGCCTCCTCATCTAGATTTCTTTGCTTCTACTTCCTCTCCCTGTCCTTTTTTCTCCTGGGTCTCTCTATATTGCCTAGGCTCACCATATTGGTGCAGGACTTACTGCAGTCATCTGATTGGCATTAGCCCTACTGAAGCTTATAATCCCAGAACTCAAGGAATCCACCCAGAATCCACTCAGCTTCCCCCAGTAACAGGACTATAGGCATGCATTACCATGCCTAGCTTCTGGCTGCTTCTCTTGAAGCTCATGATGTTGTCATTGTTAAGTTGATATTTTAAGCCTAGTCTTTCTAAATCAGTCTTATCTTCCTCAATTCATCTTTCTCCAGTGTAAGTATTATTCAAGACTGTGTCTTCAGCCCTCTTTTCTTCCCTGTCTATAACTTCTCTCTTGGTAATCTGATCCAAAACCATGACCTCAATGATCACTTCTATGCAAATGGCTCCCAAAGTTTTATACATCTCCCTAGTCTCTTGCCTGAGTTCCATTCAGAAATCTTCAGTTATCTGCTCAACACTTTCACTTAAATAATCCATTGGAACCTCAAAAATTCAACATGTTAAAAAAAATCATTTGTGGCCCTCTAGGTCCTCCAGTGTGGCCCTTTGACTGACTCCAAATTTCACAAGTCAAAGGAGTCAGTCTTTTTGACGTTGGAGTCAGTCAGAGGGCTGTACTTGAGGACCTAGAGGGCCACAAGTGGCCTTCAGGCAACAAGTTCCCCACCCCTGCCTGTGATTATTATCCTTCCAGGAAGTCAGACTTAAGATCTGGGAGTTACCTTTGGATTTTCTGTCTCCTTCAACTCTCCCATACAATCAATTCATTAAATCCTGTCATCTCTACTTCTGTATTGAGTTCTTATTCTCTACTTATGCTGTGGGGCAGCTAGGTGGCGCAGTGGATAGAGCACCAGCCCT